TGGAGCTGAGATCCCGTCCTGGCGTCCCCATGGCTGGAGCCACTGTCCCAGCCCCACACTGGCCCCACATGCTGGGTCATGGCCCCATGGGCACTCTGAGGATGGTGTAACCATGGCAAGGCAGGCAGGGGGCTGTGACAGGGTGGGCATGGGTCCACCAGGGTGGTCAGGGATTCCTGTAAGGTGGGCAGGGATTCCTCAGGGAAGGCGGGGGAACCTCAGGGCAGGTGGGATGGGCAAGGGTCCCCAGCAGTGCTGGTAGGGAGTGGGCAGAGGACCCTATCAAGGCAGGCAGGGGTCTTCCAGGATGGACAGGAGTCCCCATAGGGTGGGCAGGGGTCTCCCAGCAGTCCCTGTGAGGCGGGCAGGGGTCCTCATTGTGGTGGCGGGGGCTGGGCTCTCATGGACTGAGCTCCTGCCTAATGCACCGAGTGCATCTACAGAATCCAATTAACCTTCGATAACGAGGCCCTGAGCGACGTGGCTGTCAGCGGCCACCAGCCACCGGCACACGGCTGTCAGTGGCCACTGGACACTGGCACATGGCAGCCCCTGATGGCCACCCAGCCCACTAGGATGGGCAGCACTGTCACCGCAGCCCTTGGCCAGGCAGGACCCCCCAGCAGCCCCCAGCTGCTGTTGGGCCCTGGGGAGGTAGGGATGGGGGTACACAAGCACCCTAAGGAGCACCCAGCATGGGAGAGGGTCCCGGTGTGCCTACCCATGGCTCCGAGGCACTGGCCCTACTGATCGGGGGACTGGAGCTGCCTGTCCTGCAGCTCAAGGTGTGCCCCCCACTCCTGCAGTACCCCCTCCTGCCCCCTGCTCTATCCCCCCCCCACTGTCCTCACTCCACTGAAGGCCTGGGGGCTCAGCTGCTGCCCCGCTGGCATTGGAGCTGGCCATGGCAGGTGCTCCCGACCGGCAGGGCTCACTGGGACACCCCCCAGACAGAGACGTGCAACCACAGCAGCTCTGCAGCCCCTCCAGCCCAGGCTATGCCCCCCCAGCTCCTCTGACCCTGCTCCCAGCTGCGTCCCCAGTCAGGGCCCCCGGTAGCCACTGGGGCGGGGGCTGCCCGGCCCCTCGACCCTGCTGTCCCCCACCCCAGGGGCTGCAGCCTGGGGGTACCCGGGGGGAGCAGCCCCCCACAGCCGGGGGTTGGCGTCACCGTGCAGCCGCCCCCGCATCCATGTGGCACCGGCTCCTCCCCGAGGACACCGCGCAGACGCCGAGGGCCACCGTGACGTCCGGCCGGGCGACTCGGCCACCGGGGCCCCGGGAGCCCCAGTGGCCACATGGATCCCGTCCTGGCCTCATCCTCGCCCTATACCAACCCCATCCCGATCCCCTCCTGACCCCATCCCGAATGCACCCCAGCCCTATTCTGGCCCCATCCATCCCCACCTAAGCCCTCCTGCCGGGTCGGCTGGGTCGGGGTGGGCACCGCGCCCACCGGCTGCTGCCGCCTTACCCCGCGCACCCTGTCCGGGTGCCGGCGCCCGCGGCGGGCGGGCGGCGGGGGGCACCGGGAGTGTTTCATGCGGTTAAGAAGTGTCTGATTGAGGCAGGAGGCGCCAGCAGCTCCCCCGGGAGCCGCAAGCCAAGGACTGGAGGACCAAATGCAGGCTAAAGTAATCCAATCTGGGCTGGTTCATCTAATTAGCCCAGAATTAACCCAGCAGCCAGAGAGGAGCTGACTGTCCCTCCAGTTTGCCAGCGGGTTTGGGGGGAAGCGGGAGGAAGAAGGGGACGTCCAGCGGTAATGAGATTACGGGGGGGGGGCGGGCGGGAGCGGGCGCTCGGCAGCCTCTGGCCGGTGGGAACGTGGGGCCCTGCCAGGTCCCCGCCACGCCATCGCCGCGATGGCCGGGGCACCGGGGTGACCGCCGGCGGCACCGGGGGCAGGCAGGGACCTGTCCCAGCGCCCCCTGCTCCGGCAGCAGCGCCCACAGCATCGCTGTCGGGGATGGGGCCACCGGCACGGCGGCACCGGGGACGTGTCACCACGAAGCTGCACAACTGCACCGGCAGCTCCAGGGTCGTGATGGGGGACAGGGCGAAGGGCCCTGGCCGTTCCTGGCAGGAGCCCCTTTGGGGGGCGAGCGGGGGCCAGACCCCCTGTGTGACCCCCCTGCTCCCAGCTCGGCTGTGCCAAGGGTCGGGGTGGCCGGGGGGGCCCGAGGTGAGGGGCTGCTGGTGCAGGTCTGGCGGTGGCAGGACCTGGTGCCACAGTGGCCGAAGGTTGATTCTCTCCTGGAATTGGGCAAGCGCCCCTTTTTCCACTGCGTCCCTTACAGCCATCCCTGCCACCCGGGTGCCAGGTCATGTTCCTGCCTGACATGGGGACGCGTCCCCTGAGCCCAATGAGGACCACCAGTCCAGCCCCCTGGGGTGGGAGGAGGCACACACCAAGGATGTAGGGGTCTCTGCTGTGGCCAAGGAATGAGGAAGGGTTTGTACTGGCACAGTGGGGGGTTCCAGGGGCAGGGACCCTGCCTGGCCTCACAGTGGCTCTGGGGACCCCCAGACAGGCACAGGGACACGGCCTCCATTCCGGTGGTCCGTGGGTCTCTGAGTGGACAGGGCCAGCGGCACGAAGCGGTCACACTGAGGGGCACCCTGCACCCACAGCTGGGGTGGGAGGGGGCTCACGACTCTCTGAGCACCCTCAGCCCTTCCCTGCACCCTGCTGGGACAGCCCTGGCCTTGCTGCTGGAAGGTGCTAGGCAGGGGGGCTGCTCGGGCCGGGAGTGCCGCCTGCAGACCCCCGTGGGCGTGGGGCGGGTCCCGGTGCAGGCAGGCGCCGGGTGAGCCCGCGTCGCCCCCGGCCCCGTCACAGCCCCCCAATCCATCTCCCAGCCTGGCAGATTTCAGCCCCTGGGCATGGCAACATCTGCCTCCTGCTCCGGGTTCAATTAACCTGCTGCCGCCTCCTCCTCCGGCACCGGCCATTTCCTCCCGCCGCCGCTGTCACTGCCGCGCTGTCACTGTCACCGCTGTCACCGCCACTGCCGCCACCACCGGCTGCACCCCACTGGGTCACAGCGAGCCCCTTTGCTGGGGGCTCTCTCCTGGTGGAAAACCCACAACAGGAGCACTGGGTGTTTGTCCCAGCACCTGCCAGGCTGTGAGCCAGGAACACTGGGAAGCCATAGCCCCGACAGGGCAGGGTCCCTGTGCTGCGTCCCCCTTCCCTTTCTGGGTGCACAGGGACTCACACCCGCGGCACGGGGCTCCCCCGGTGACCCCGGTATGGCAAAGGGCAGCTCGGCCTTGCCTGGTGCCACAGTGGGGCCGGGGTGGCACCAGCGTGAGCCCGTGCAGCCCCGGCGGAGCTGCGGGTGCAGGGACACTGCGGTGGGTCTGAGACCACCCGGTAACCCGGGCCTGCCCGATGCCCCTGGGATGGGGGTGCCCTCGGGGTGTGCAGTGTCCCCGGTGCCCCTGGGCGTGCCTGGTGCCCCTGGGATGCGGGGTGTCCCTGGGGCGTGCGGTGCTCCCGGTGCGGCAGCTGCAGCCCCCGGTGCCGCCGTGATTTACAGGCGCAGGCCCCCTGTAATGTCATTTGCCCCAGACCGGTGGCGCCAGGGTGCCCGGGCGGCCCCCCTCCCCCGAGCCAGATCCTGACCCGGGGCTATGACCCGCCTGGGAACCGCTGGGACCCACCCGCGGGGCCGCCGCGCCTCTGTCGCGATAGTCGCCGGAGGACCCGGCCCAGCCCGCGTCGCTCTCCGCTGCCGTTACCTCCCGTCGGCGGGGCCGACTTGGCCTCCGTGACCGGGAAAGGCAGGGCGGGGGACCGGGGTCCATCACTGGCAACGGCGGGGCTGGGGGGTCCCGGCAGCGGGAGGACCTCGGGGTCCACCCCCCCCGAACAGCGAGTCCGCATGGCCCAGGAACTGCAAGTGGGCGCGGGGTCGGTGCCCCGGGGTTCCTGCAACTGTCATCAGCAGCTCGAGGGGACTAGAATCCGTGTCCTCGGGATGGGTCCGTGTCGTGGGAATGGTGGGTCGGGGCAAACCCCAGGTCCCCGTACCGGGCGCGGCGGCTCCGGGGCCGCCAGATCCGTTTGCTCCGCTCTGGGCGGGCTCGGCGGGACCGGGCTCGGTGCGGAGCCTGCGTGCCCCGAGAGCGGCGGGCGCGGGGCCTCTCCGTGCGCTCCGGGTCGGGACAACGGCGCCGGGCCCGGGGCCGCTCCGTGCGCTCCGGGTCGGGACAACGGCGCCGGGCCCGGGGCCGCTCCGTGCGCTCCGGGTCGGGACAACGGCGCCGGGCCCGGGGCCGCTCCGTGCGCTCCGGGTCGGGACAACGGCGCCGGGCCCGGGGCCGCTCCGTGCGCTCCGGCAGGGCGGGGTGGGACCGGTTGGAAGACCCGACGGGGCTGCGGGTGGAGCGGGAGCGCGGAGAAGCGCCGCTCTGCTGCCCGGTGCGGCGGCGGCGGCTCCGGTGGACCGGGGAGGGTCCGGCGGCCGCCTCGGCGGGACGAACGGGTACGGGGCACGTCGGGGAGCGGGGGGAGTCCCGGGGCCGGGCGGGGCGCGGGCGCTCGGGACCCGACGGGACCATCCGCTCGGTCCGGAGCGGCGGCGGGGGCCCGGGGCGGCGGCAGCGGCGGGGGGGAGCTCGGGGGCGGGGCCCCGGGCTGTCAATCACGGGGCGCGGCCGCCAATCAGGGCGCGGGCGGTGGGAGTTCGGCCGGTCCGGATGGAGAGGGGCAGAAAAGCGCGTCCCGCCGGGGCCCGCAGCCCACCCGCGCTCCCGCCCCGAGGCCGCCAGCGGCCGCGAGCCATGCCCCGCACCCTGCCCCGAGCCTGCACCCGCACCCGGCACCCATCCCGCAGCGGGCACCCGCCCCGCCCCCGCCCCCGGCAGCTGCCCCGCACCCGTACCCTGCACCGCGTCCTGCACCGCACCGGACACCCCGCCACCGTCCCCGCCGCCGCCCCCCGCCGCCCCCCGGCCATGCCCGCGCCCCGCCGGCTCTGAGCGCGGCCGCGATGGAGCGGGAGGGCAGCGGCCCGGGTCCCCCCGCGCCCCACGAGCCCATCAGCTTCGGCATCGACCAGATCCTGGGCGGCCCCGAGCCCGCGGGGCCGCACCGGGCGGCCGCGGAGCACGACTACGGGCTGTACGGCGGCGGGTACGGCCCCGCCGGTCCGCTCGGTTCCTACAACCTCAACATGAGCATGAACGTGAGCGTGAACGTGACCCCCGCGCCCGCCGCGCCGCCCGCCGGGGTCATCCGCGTCCCGGCGCACCGGCCCGCGCCCGCTCCGCCGCCCGCCGCTCCCGCCGCGCCGCCGCCGGGGCCCGCGCTGCCGGGGCTCACCTTCCCCTGGATGGAGACTACGCGCCGCATCGCCAAGGACCGGCTCTCAGGTGAGCGGGCGGGACTGCTGCCGGCGGCTTTTGACGGCTCCGGGGCTCACGCGACAGCGGCGGCTCCGGGGGCTCCGTCGGGGCGGTGCTGCGCGGCGGGTGCGGTGCGGGTCGGTGCGGGCGCGGAGACCGGCCAGGCACGGCGGGGACCGTGAGCTCCGCCGGTTCCCGCCGCGCCCGGTCCTTGCCCGCCGCCGTCGGGGCCCGCGGGAGCGGCTGGGGGCTGGCGCGGCCACCGGCGGCTCCACCGCGGCACCGAGCAGGGTCCGGCGGCTCCGGGCGGCGCCTGAGGGGTCCCACCGGGCTCCGGCCTCGGGCTGTGCTCTGTGTCCGGTCCCTTCCCCGGTCCCGGGGTCGCCGCGTGCTGACCCTGTCCCATCGTAATGGGGAGGCTGCCGGGGGCTGCGGCAGCCGGGAGGTGGGGTGGGGGCTCTGCAGGGTGCGGGGTGGGGGCTCTGCAGGGTGCGGGGTGGGGGCTCTGCAGGGTGCGGGGTGGGAGCTCTCTTGGTGCGCGGAGCGGGGTGGGGGCTCTGTGGGGAGTGGGATGTGATGAGGGGTCTTCGTGGGGACAGGGTGTGGAGTGGGGGGACCTGCCATGGGACCAGAGGACAAAGCCTGTCTGTGTACGGAGCGGGTGCCCCAGACCCGTGAGCCCCGGGGAATGGGGGTGATGGGGGTGTCTGTCTGTGGGATGTGTGGGGATGGGACCCCCAGACCAGCACATGCAAGAATTGGTGCAGAACACAGGGTGCCGGTGCTGTGGGAGAGGCCAGGGTGGGCCTGTGCTGGGGCCGGGGTGAGCGGGCAGTGACACAGGTGTCAGGGAGGCGGTGAGGGGTCCCGGTGGGGCCGGCGGCTGAGCGCCGTGCTGAGGGCTGAGCACCAGTGCTGGGGCAGGGATACTGGTTGCTGCACCCCCGAGGAGCAGGAGCAGGTGCTCAGGTCGGGGTCCCGGGCACCGGGGCTGTGTGTGGGTGCCACAGACCCCCAGCCTGGCTCGGCTCGGCTCCCGCCCAAGATGGCGGCGCTGCCACGTCTGCGGCGCGGCCGCGTGTGGGGACGAGGCCGGGGGCCGTGTGGGGCTGGGGCCGAGCACCAGCCACGGGGTGATGGGGCAGTGTGGGATGGGAGGCTGGGGACTGTGGGGGTCCCACCCGGTACCAGCAGAGCCGTGTTCGCCTCCCGGCCCGCCCCGCCATCGCGGCGGTGACGAAGCAAGCACCGTCCCCGTGCAGGGGTGGTGGGTGACGTCCTTGTCTCCTGCCTGGCGCCAGCGGAGGGTGGACGGGGCGGCCCCTCCCAGTACGGGGTCTCTCAGCCGCAGCCATCACTCAGCGCTGGCCTTGGGGTGGGCTGCGGGCGGGCGGCATCTGGTCCCGGCGAGGGGCCGCCCTGCGCGGGGAGGGGGCGCGGGGGCCTCCGTCCCCCCGACTGCGCGGCTCCACCTGCGTCAACCGTGTCCGCCCCCGCCGGCGGGCAGGCGGCCTCCTGGGCGCGGGTGGGAGGGAGGGTCTGTCAGGAGGTCCCCGGGGTGCTGTGGGCCGTGCCCCGTGTCCCTGTGCCAGGGGGGCCCAGGGCCCATGGTCACCCTTGGTCCGGGCCATGTGCAGCCCTGCCCATGCTGGCCCTGGCGATGGCCATGTTGTCACAAGGTGCCATAAGGCTGTGGTGCCACAGGGCCATGGGGCCATGGTTTGGCCATGGCTGCTACTGGAGCAGGAGCGCAGTGGGTGTTGGGTGCTGACCCTGCCAAACCCTCACCTTCCCCGCGCCACTTCGCTGCCATGAAGCTGTGGCTCCAGCTCGATTCGGGAATGCGACACACTGGCCTAGTCAGGGCTGGCTCACACCTCCTCTGGGAAGGGACAACCCCTTCCCCGGCCCCTGGCACTTCGGCAGCTGCCGTTGGTCAGCCCGGGCACTGCTGGCACATGGAGGCAGATGCCGGGACATGGAGGGAGACACCGTCTGCCTCCTGACACATGCTGGGGTCCCACCCCCTGCCCGGGAGGGCTGGGCAGACCCTGCAGTGTCACGAAGGCTCCTCGCAGCAGGGCTCGGTGCGTGGGGAGGGTGGGTTTGTGCAGCCGGAGCCTGACTGTCCTGCATCGGCCCTGCGACCGGAGCAGCCCATCTGCCCCGTCCTGGTGCCCACCACTGGGCTGGGGAGCGATCATGCTGTGGCTGTGCGGTGGAAAAGGGTCCTCCCTTGAACCACCTCTTGAGCTGCCCCTGGGTCCCTGGGCTGGGGGAGCAGGTAGGGATGACTCAGGGTGTCCCCCTCTCCTCCTCTCCCCAGCAGCACTGGTGGCCTCTTGGAGCTCCCTATCCCATGGCCCCCCCAGAGCTCCTCATCACCATGGTTCCCCCCCGAGCTCCCTGTCCCCATGGCCCCGAGCTCCCCAGCATCCCCCCGGGCTCCTGCTCTGCCCTGCTCTGCTGGAGCTCCCCCAGAGCCCCCATCATCCCACTTTCCCCACAGCCGCACTGTCACCCTTCACGGCCACGCGACGCATCGGGCACCCGTACCAGAACCGGACACCGCCCAAGCGCAAGAAGCCACGGACGTCCTTCTCCCGGGTGCAGATCTGCGAGCTGGAGAAGCGCTTCCACCGGCAGAAGTACCTGGCCTCGGCCGAGCGTGCCACCCTGGCCAAGGCCCTCAAGATGACGGATGCCCAGGTCAAGACTTGGTTCCAGAACCGCCGCACCAAGTGGAGGTAACAGGGATGGCCTCAGGGCAGCTGCCACGACCCCCACATCCCTCCAGCAGCCCAACCCCATGTCCCTCTGGCAGCCCTTCCCCTGCATCCTTCCAGCAGCTGCCCCCCTCTATGGCCAAGCCCCCCCATCCTGGGAGAGGCTGGACTGGGGAGGGATGGGACGCCCATCACCGTGGCATCCCCTGTGCCCAGCTGGATGAGGTCTGATGGTGTCACGGGATGTGCCACACCGGCACAAGGTGGTGCTGAGGGATGAGGGACGAGGGACAGGGCTGCGGGGCAGTGCCACACTGACACATGGTGGTGCTGAGGGACAAGGGACAGGGCTGCGGGGCAGCGCTGGCAGTGCCAGCTGCGGGTACCATCGGTGGGTCTCCGCAGGCGTCAGACGGCGGAGGAGCGCGAGGCGGAGCGGCAACAGGCCAACCGGCTGATGCTGCACCTGCAGCAGGAGGCTTTCCAGAAGAGCCTGGCGCAGCCCCTGCCGCAGGACCCGCTCTGCATGCACAACTCCTCGCTCTATGCCCTGCAGAACCTCCAGCCCTGGGCCGAGGACAACAAGGTGACGTCGGTCTCGGGGGTGGCCTCTGTGGTGTGAGGGCCCCGGGTGTCGCCGATGTGCCGGGAGGTGGCAGTGGGAGCCCAGCCTGCAGCAGGGAGGGGACTGCAGCTTCCTGGGGGCCTCCCACGGGCAGCCCCCTCCCTGCCGCTGACAGCCCCCTTGGGCCCCCTGGCTGCAATTGCCCCTGCAATTGGACTCAAAGCTTTACCAGATCCCACCTGGAGCACCGCTGTGGGCAGCCCCCTGCTCGGACCCCTGGGAGCCCACAAACAGGCCCCTACACCCTGCAGGGCTCTGCAGCCCCCCCCCAGGGTCCCTGTGCCAGGGCAGCTCCTTGGGGGTCCCTGCTCAGGACCTGCTGCCAACCCACCAGCGGCTCCATGAGTCAGGCTGGGGCAGCCACAGTCCCCAGCCCACCTGGAGCAGGGCACAGTGTGGACATCGCGTTCCTGGTGCTGGGACCTGCCCCCCCAGTGGGGTCTGCACCCACCACACCACTTGCCTTATCCCTGGAGTTTGCCACCTCCGGCTTCCAGCTGTACCCACCATGCTGAATGAAGAACTTGGCCACTCTGGCTCCTCCCCAGTGGTGGGACAGACTGATGGACTGGGCCCCTGGCCCTGCACCCACCAATCTGTCGGCTCCCTGGGCCCGGACATGCCCCCATGGCCCCCCATCACGGACTCGGGGTGCTCCCTATGCCGATGGATTGTACCAGCCCCTGACTCCCCCTGGTACCCCCATCACCTCCCACAGACTGAGCCTTCATGACCCACAGCACACTCGTGGGGGGGCAGAGGGGCTGAACCCCCCCTCCTTTGGCAAACCTCTGTGCCCCCTCCCCAGTGACTCCCTAAGTGGAGGTTTTCCCCTCCCAAGACCTTCCAGCCCCACTCTGGCCTCGATCGGTGATGATGGTGGGGAGGAAGGGGGAGAACAACGATGACCTTGACCCCGAACTTGACCTTGCCCCCCACCCGACTGCTATCCACGACCCTGCGGCCCCTCGCCCCACTTTTGGGGGCAGGCTGCTGCTGGCCCCCCACCTCCGCTGCTGCCGGGAGGAGTCGGACAGCCGGTGCCGGCGGGATTGGCTGCTGTTCCGTGACGCGGGGGGGGAGTGGAACAGCATCACCACCGGGATGAGCGCGGCTGAGGGCCGGCCCCGGTGCCGGTGGGGCGGCGGCGGCGAGGCGGTTCTCCGTGCCCGTGCTGAGGCTGCCGGTTACCGGAGGCTGCTGCGAGCCCGAGCCGCCGAGGTGGAGGCGCTGCGGGGGGCGGTGGGTGCGTTACACCGGCAGCTGGAGGGGCTGCGGGACCGGCGGAGCGGGGAGCTGGCCAAGTACCAGGTGCGGGATGGGAGGGCGTCGGGGAGTGCCTGGGGGGCTGGGAGGGAACGGGGGGCTGGGATGCGAGGAGGGGGTGGATGTTTTGGGGGGGGAGGGGTGGTGCCGGGGCTGGATGCCTGGAGGGATGGGGTGAAGGGGGAGGATGGGGAGGGGCGGGGTCGGGGGGTCCCGATGGAGCTGAGGGGCCGGGGAGGCAGCGGGAGGGGACGAGGGATGGCATGGGGGTGTTTGGGTGGGGCGGGGGCTGGGGTGTCCGTGTGGGTGGGTGTCGGTGCGGGGCTGAGGATCCCGAGATCCGTGCGGGGCGGGGGCCGGGCCGGGGATCCCGGGAGTCCGTGTTAGGCGGGGTTCGGATCGGGGGTGGGAGTCCGTGCGGGGCGGGGGTCGGTCTGGGGGTCCCTGTGAGGAGGGTGTTCGGCCGCGGGTCCCGGGGGTCGCCCCGCGGTCTCGGCGCTGCTGACGGCCCGGCTCAGGAGCGGGTGGCGGAGCTGGAGCGGGAGATCGGGGCGGCGGAGGCGGAGATGGCCCGGTGCCTGCGGGAGTACCCGGCGCTGCTGCGGCTGCGGATGGCGCTGGAGGCGGAGATCGCCGCGTACCGGTACGCGGGGGGAGGCGCGGGGGGCGCGGGGAGCGCGGGGCTCAGCCCGGCCCTTCTCTTCCAGGGAGATGCTGGAGAGCGAGGAGCTGCGCCTGGGCGGTCTGGCCCCGCCATGATCGGACCCCTGGAGCTCCGGTCCCATCACCGGACCCGCCGTGACCACCGGACCCCCGGCACCGTGACCGGACCCTCAGCCCCACCACCAGACCCCCCGTCCCGCTGCGACCGGACCCCGGTCCCTCCACCGAACCCCAGCCCCTCGACTCCTGTGCCCCAGGACCCCCGACCTCGGGCCGTGGTACCCTCGGACCCTCTGGACCCCTCTGGACTCGCAGAGTCTCGGTCCTTCTGCCCCCTCGTGCCACGGGCCCCCAGACTCCTGTGCCCCCGCCTGCCCCCTGTCCTGGGACCCCCGGGAGGGCAGTGCCCGTGGGGCCACACACTCACCAGCCTCTCTGGGGTGGGGGTCCCGGCCCAGACCCGCGGGAAGCACCTCAATAAAGCTCCGTGGCATCACCCGGAGCCGACCCGTCTTGGGGTTGGGGGGTGGGGTGGGGGGGCAGGACCCCGACCAGGAGCACCCTCTGCGCTCCGGGGGTCTGTGGCAGAGCAGAGGCCCGGGGGGGCTCCAAGGGAGGAGCTCAGGGGGTGGGCCCGGGCTCCATCCCTCCTGGTGCAGCCCTTCAGCCCCGGGCTGGGCACCCTCCCGAACACCAGGGGGGCACATCATGGGGGCCCAGCCACAGCTCCAGTGGGAGCTGAGCCCCCCACTGCTGTCGGGTGACCCCTGACCCCCCCGGGGTGACCATGTCCTGTATTAGGAGCTCCTGGAGTCAGGACAGGATCCTGCTCCCCAGGACGTGGGAATGGGGTGCTGCCCCTCAGGACTTGCCCCCTGGGTGCAGCCCCTGAGACTGAGGATGCTGCCCCACTTCTGTGGGGGTTGGTGAGGATTAGGGGGGATCGGTGAGGATTAGGGGGGTCCAGGACACCTATGGGTAGCTGGGCAGGGCTGTGGGGACCCTCCAGCTGGGCTGTCCATGAGCTGGGCTGGCGCACGTAGGGAGCCTGTTCCAGTCATACAGAAGGATGCCAGGGCCAAGCCCTGCACAGGCCAGGAGCCCTCTGGGGAGTTGTGGGGGCCCAGCACCCCCCTACCCACACAGACACAGACCAGGGTTTGTGGTAACAGAGTCAAGCCCAGTGCTTTAATAGGGGGAAAAAAACTCCTTTTTAACAAGGGAAAAAAAGCCTTTTCTGAGCAGTACAAGGGAGAGCAAGGTGGGTGCTGGTGCCTGTCCCACTGTGGCTGTCCCATTGGGGTCCCCCCAGCCCCTGGAGGTTTGTGGAGGGGAGGGAAAGGGTGCTGGGGAAAGGAGATGTCTGTGCATGGGGTCAGCGTGCACAGAGCCAGCGTTATCGTGGTGTGTCGAGGTCCTGCCAGGGGCTCCAGGGGCTCCAAGCCAGGGGGGTGTGGGGGTCCCGGCAGCTGATGCGCACCCGCCGTGCGCCCACCTGCACCTCTGTCTCCTCCACGCCCTCCACGAACCGCTCAACCTGCAAAGGGGGCAGGTCATGGCCTGGGCAGATCCTCGGGTAGGGGGAAGCCATTGCAGAGGAGTGGGGGGCAGAGCTGGGGGGAGTAGAGGTGACAGCCAGGGGTGACCATTCATTGCCTCAAGGGGAGAAGCAGCGGAGTGGGGAGGGGGCCATGGCTGAACCTGCAGAGAGTCCCTGTTCCCAATGCCCCCCCCGGTACAGGGAAGAGCCCAGGACGGGGCAGGGTGGGGACACGGGGCAGGGTGGGCGCGTGTGGGGTCCGGCTGGGCAGGGTCCCCCGTTACCTGGGTGCCATTGGGGAGCTCGTACTGCAGGTGGTAGAGCAGCACAAAGTAGGATGTGGGGCGCTGCCAGGAGGCTGGGGGTGCCCAGGTCAGGTGGAGCTGCTCCCCCTGCCACCGCAGGGTCAGCTCCTGGGGCGGGTCGGGACGCACTGCGGGCAGGGGGGGCTCAGGACGGGGGCTGAGCCCCCCTCAGAGCCCCCAGTGCCCCTTGAGCGTCCCCATCCCTCGGGCTGCTGCTGCCCTGAGCTCACCAATGTCGCGGAGGAAGAAGTGCTTGGAGAGGCTGAGGTAGGAGGTATCCGAGAGCCCCTCCAGGTGCAGCCACAGCGGACGCAGCTCCTCACCGAAGGGGCAGAACGAGGGGTCGGCCAGAGTGGCGTTGAACCGGCCGTGGCCCCCGGCCACTGGCACCCACGGACCCTCGGAGCCATCGCTGAGGGGAGGGAGGCGTGAGCAGGTGTGAGGGCTGGGCGGCCGAGGGGCTGGGGGGGGTTGGGGGGTCCCAGGACACCCACCTGTGTGTGAGGCGGGCGCGGAAGACGACAGAGGGGGGCCCAGGCCAGGAGCAGTGGAAGGAGCCATGGTAGGACTCAGCCTGGCAGGACACGTTGATCTCTTCCTCGCCTGAGGGGCCGAGGGGGGTCAGGGGGTGTGGGGCCGGGAGCGATGCCCCCTCCCTGGACAGCACTGGTGAGGCTCCCCCGGCCCCAAAGCCCTGCCCGGTGCAGCCCCATGGACAGCACAGGAGCAGCTCTGGGTTCCCAGCCTGCCCCCCATCCCTGCACCCCACCACCCCCCTGCCCGGGCTCTCCCGGCCATGTCCCTCCTTACGGGCACCGCTGACCACCACGTAGGTGGTGTCCAGCAGGACAGGGCCGGCCCAGCAGCTGTAGTTGCCTGTGGCCGGCAGGTCTAAGCCGAGGATGGTGAGGTTCCGGCCCTCAGCCTCCAGTTCGGCCATGGGCTCCTGCTCTCCGTTCAGTGTCCAGCTGATGTGCGGCTCCAACGTGTCACACTGCACCACCACGTCCTCGTTCAGCTGCCCCACCTGGACTGGAGGTGAGAGGCAGAGCCTGGGGTCAGAGATGGGCTGTGCTGGGGGCAGCTTGTCCCTCACACCAGCACGGGGCTGGGTGCCCTTCAGCCATCCTGCCCCACGGTCCCCACCCTGCTCCTGCACCCCAAATCCATTCCCACCTGTCCCATCACCCCATATCCACCTCCCTGCTCCTGCACCCCAAATCCATTCCCACCTGTCCCATCACCCCATATCCACCTCCCTGCTCCTGCACCCCAAATCCATTCCCACCTGCTCCATCCATCCCCTCACATCCATCCCCCCTCTCCCTCACCCCACAGCCATCCCGCTATCACCCTCATGCCCTCTCTCAAACCCCTCAGCAGAGCTGTCTGACCCCTATCAGAGGGATGCAGGATGGGTATACCCCCTATCAGAGGGGTGCAGGATGGGTATACCCCCTGCTCCCTCCAATCCATGTGAGGTCCCTGCAGCCCCCTCCCATTGGGAGGTTCCCCCTCCAAGGCCTCCCCTGTGCTCGGGGGGCAGCAGCACTCACACTTTGGGGGGAAGGCAGTCAGGGTGTCCACGGGCACGAGGCACAGCACCAGCCCCACCAGCCCCAGCATCTGGGAGGGGAAGGGGAAGAGAAGGGTAGGGGAAGGGCAGGTGGGGGGCTGGACGTACCCTGAGAGAGGGGCAGAGCCAGCAGGGCCACCAAAGGCAGAGTCCCCGGCCGTGGGAGCAGCATCCCCGAGCAGGACACCCCCAAGATCCCCCAGTCACCCCAGGACCCCCCACCCTCCTGTGCTGTGCCTACCTCTGCGCCTGCTGCTCCAGTGGCTCCGGTGGGCACGGTAGGGCCGGGGGCTGTGGATTTATACCGGGCTGGACTCCACGGGGGTGCCCCAAGGTGCAACCACAGCAGCATCACAGTTCTCAGAAGTGGAGAGAGGCTGTGTGGGAGCCATGCTCAGCCCCCCACCCACCCGGCCCCAGGACTCACCGCTGGTACTTCCCAGGCAGGGGGCACCAGCACCTGCTGCCCTGCCCTGACCGCTGGAGGACGGGTCACCCCAGGAACGGCCAGGCGAGGGACAGTGCCGGGGTCCTGGGTGGTCCCAGCTCCCCCAGAGGGGTCCTGAGCCCCTGCACCACCCCGAGGGTCTGCACGTCACCACATGCCCCACAGAGCCCCCACAGCACCCTGCCATGGGGTGGGACCATCAGCGGTCCAGTGGGACCATCTGAGGTCCATCAGCACTGGCCCCTGAGGTCTGGAGAGGGGCTGGGCCCTGCTGGCTGGGCTGTGGCACTGGTTGTCCTGTCCCTTCCCTCCCCTCTTTGGGCCACTGCATGTCCCATGGGATGCTGTACAGGGATGGGGTCGAAGGGACAGAGGACACTGTGGCCACCAGCCACCCTCCTTTGTCATTGCAACCACTGCCAGCCCAGGGTGAGGGCACAGGGCAGCCCCGGCCCCGGGAAGGGGAGCACTGTGCCTGCTCATGTACTTTCTGGGGCTCCTAGAAAGCAAAGGGGAAGTGGGGGCTGCGGGAGCCTTGGGGGGAGCCCAGCCCTCACCTTTCGAGTCTCTGTGGCCAGCACAAGGCAGTGGAGCCTCCAGGCCCCTTCCTGAGCAGAGTCAAGCCCCTGTGCATGGGCTGAGGGGAGGGAAGGGGGAGCCAGGACCCCTGACCCCCCAGGCAGAGGGTCAGCCCTTGGCTGTAGTGCCAGGGCTGTAGGGGATCCTGAGGCTGGAAGGGGGGACCACAAGAGGGGAGGGAGGAGGGCGGGCACCTCGCCTGGGGGTGCACCCATGCCCTGTCCCATGCTGGAGGAGGAGGCACTGGCAGCACGTTTAGGGGGTTGCTCACCCCCCCCTGCTGGCCACAGCTTCCCCTTGGCTTCTGCAGAAAAACCACAGCCAGGGAAGGGAAGCCCCGGTGAAAAGGCCAGGGCTGCCCTCAGACCTCAGCATGGCTGGGGACCCAGCATGACACTCAAAACAGAGGTGGGAGGGGAGCGAGGCCTCACAGACAGAAACTCCCCAGAGAGCAGCAGAGACAGAGCCTGTCCCAGTCAGACCTCTCCATGATATCCCACAGCAGGACAGACCCCACCCCAGCTGGACCGCTCGGCTGCAGTCACGGACACGAGGCCAGGAGCAAAGGTCACAAAACTTTATACAGGAGGGACCCGTGTGTGGGCCCTCGGCCCTAGGCGTGGGGGCAGCAGGACAAGCGGTGCCTCCACCCCAGCAGAACCCTGGGAAAAGACAGGGGGAAGGAGCCCGGTGGGGAGGGCCCACACAACTCCCCCGGCCGGGGCCAGCACTCCCCAGTCCGTGCTCTGAGGTGCCACGGTGGCCCCACGGCCGCTGGCCCACGACTGCCCGCGGTGCAGCGCTGAGGCCGTGCCCGGTCGTGCCCGCACCTCCCTGGGGCCAGGGACAGCCCCTGCAGCCGCACGGCCCCCCAGGGACCCTCCAGGGCTCCCCCATCTCCAGTGTCACAGCCAAGCCCAGACAGCCCCTGCTGGGGCTCTGGTGCTCCGGCTCACTGCAGGACACAGACGTCCCCCTCCACAGCCTCCCGTCCGGCCGCCTCTGCCAGCGGCTCCGGCCCCGCTGGCGCATCCTCTGTCGCCACCACCTTCTCCCGCAGCTCCATCAGCAGGTCCCGGCCCTCGCTGGGTGGCAGGTTGCTCAGGTAGTACTGGGGAGCCAGCTCCACCAACCTATGGGGACAGGGGGTCAGTCAGCAGCGGGGACCCCCCAGAGGGCCCTGTCCCTGCCCGTCCCCAAGCCCTCACATTTGGGGCTGGATCTCCGAGACCACGCGCAGGCAGTTGTCCTGGGAGATGGTGAACTCGTGGTAGAGCACCCAGGGGGGCAGGCGGCGGGGGGGCGGCCGCAGCAGGTACCCGCAGGCGGGGGCCAGGTGTGCCACGTGTTTGTGTGTCAGCATCACGTAGTTGCCAGAGCCATCGATGTCACGGGCGACCTGGGAGCAGAGCAGGAGGGAGCGGGGTGATGGCACACCCCCCACGGCCCACCGCAGCCCCCACAGTCCCTGGGCCCACCTTTAGGAAGTACCCGGAGATGAGGGCCCGCTGGATGTTGAGGGCGTTGGCGTCGGAGCCGAAGGCGGGCGGTGAGACGGGCAGCTCGATGCGCCGCATCACCTCCAGCAGCTCGGCGCGCACGGTGCCCGCCAGGCGCAGCCCCTCCGCGCCCACCCCGTGCTTCCGGCACCAGCCCTCGTCCCCGGCGTCTGCAGGACAGCAGGGTCAGTGGGGTGGGGACAGGGATGGGTCAGTGGGGTGGGGACAGGGATGGGACAGTGGGGTCGGCGACACGGGAAGAGGGATGGGACAGCAGGGTCAGTGATACAGCGACAAGAATTAGACGGCAAAGTCAGTGACACGGGGACAGGACAGTGGTGCCAGTGACACAGGGAGGGGGACGGGGGAGCAGAGACCTCAGAGGGCTGGGGGTTCAGGGGTTACAGAAGCTGGCACAGCTCCCACCAGCTGCATCCCCTCCCTGCACCAGGGACAGGGACCAGGCTGGGGCTGGGACCCCCCCAGACCCTCGTGTGGCCGGGCTGGGGACAGGTGAGGGGGCTGTGGGGTGCCTGCTGGGGTACAGGGGCCACGCAGGGCAGCTGTGGGACAGCCACAGGGGTGCAGGGGACACTGAGGGGTCCGTGGGATGCCCACAGGGGTGCAGCCCCCCGCCCGCAGCCCTGCCCATGCTCACGCTGCTGGAAGGCATTGAAGATGTTGATGAGGGTGAAGTGGTCCCCGTTGGGGTGCAGCAGTGCCCGCCGGCGCAGAGCCACGGCCTCCTCCAGGTGTGTGGATGGGGGCACGAAGCAGGGGGACGCTGGGGGCGGGCAGGGGGGTCACGGTGTGCCCCCAGCACCCCCGGGCAGTGCTGGCTGCCCCCGCACGGTACCTGTGAGCATGGCAGCCAGGCTGACCATCTCCTCCACGCAGTCGAACTCGCAGGAGGCGATGAGGGCCTTGGCCAGTTGTGGGTCCAGCGGAAACTCCGACATGATGATCCCCACCTCCGACAGGTTCCCATCGTCGTCCAGAGCCGCCAGGTAGTCCAGGTCCTCCAGCGCTTGCATCAGTGACTCGGGGGCTGGAGTGGGATGTCAGGCAGCTCTGCCCACCCTCCTCCTACAGCTGCCAGGCCCCCCAGCCCCTCTCCAGAGACAATCCAGGCCACAGTCATGGCCATGGCCAGCCTGTAGCTCTCTGGCACAGCCCCCCACAGCATGCCTAGTCCCTACCTCACCCCACAGGCTCTACCTGGGCGGTCAAGAAAGTCACACTGGCCCATGTCAGCGATGTCCAGGCGCTTCAGCAGCAGCACGAGGCGGCTCAGGCTGGTCTCGCTGACGTGGGGCGCGGGGCTGGGGGGCAGGCGCTGCTCGAAGGCCTCCGAGTACAGGCGCAGGCAGGTGCCTGCAGGAGAGGGGCCGTGAGGTGGGACATGGCTGCGAGGGGTCGCAGGGGGTGGGACAGCAGCCCCAGGGGGCACATCGGGGCAGGGGTCTCACCCGGGGGGCTGCCAGCTGCCCGCTGCATGCGCGACTCTGCCTGGCTCCGGCTGATGGGCCGCAGCACCTGGGACTCGGCGCGGATGCGAGGGTTGTACACCTGCGGTGAGGCTGTGAGGGGGACACCGCAGGGGAGCCCCCACCGTCCCCCAAGGCCCCCCTGCCTGCCAGTGCAGGGCCACCGCTGCCACCTCCCTCACCCCAGCCTGAAGCATCACGATGGCTGAGCGGACCCCGCAGCCCACCCCCCACTGTGCCTGGAGCAGAGCCAACCCTCTCACTGGGACTCCCCCTCACGTCCCCCATCCCACTCACGCTGCGCAGCTCCAGCCCCGAGTCGATGACGAAGCGCACGGTGCCCAGCGAGAAGGACGAGTCCCCGAGCCAGTGGGTGACGATGACGCGCCGCTCCCGGCTCTCCTCGGGCGCCTCATACAGTCGCTGTGCGGCCCGGCCCACCCCAGGGTGCAGCGGCAGCACCAGCAGTGGGCCCAGCGCCGGGCTCAGCGCCACGGCCTCCGTCTGGATGGCAGCACAGCACTCGGAGATCTCCTGGGGAAGGACAGGGGGGCACACCTCACCCTGAGGTCAGGGTGCTGCTCTGTGCCCTGCACCCGTTTCCGGGTGCTGCTCTGCCCCCCAGCACCCACAGCCCCTTTGCAGAGGAGCCCCAGCTCCCCTAGTTTGGTCTCCAGCATCCCTTAGCATCCTCAGGGCTCCCCACTGAGAGGGACCCCCCAAGCCTCCCCTGCCCTGCTCCCCCCACAGCTCACCTGCTCGCTGGCCAGGAAGATCAGGACGTGGCCGGGCTCCTGGCGCCCGTGGATGTCCAGCACAGCCTGGCAGGCAGCGGCCACGCGCCCGTGGGCCGGCGGCTCCCGGTAGAGCAGCTGTGGCGGGGGGCTGTGCCCCGGGACCCGCACCACGGGGGGGTCCCCGCAGAAGGCGCGCAGCCGCGGCTCCAGGGCAGGGGCAGTGACCACCACGAGCCGCAGCGCCGGGCGCTGGCGCAGCACGTCCTTGAGCAGCCCCAGCAGCGCGTCCGTGGGCACCGTGCGCTCCTGCGCCTCGTCCAGCACCACCACCCCGTACTGCCGCAGCAGCGGGTCCGACGTCATCTCCCGCAGCAGCATCTCATCCGAGCAGAACCTGCCACAGCCCCACCCTGTCAGCGTGGACCCCCGGCCGGGGGGGAACCCCTCAGCCCCTCCCCGCAGCAGCGCCTGCGGCAGCAGGCACGCAGCAGGCAGGCAGCAGGCAGGCAGCAGGCAGGCAGCAGGCAGGCAGCAGGCAGCCCCCACCGGCACCACTCCCCGGCGAGGCCCGGCTGGATTAAGGGATTACGGGGAGCTCAGTGGGATTAGAGCGCTGCACTCCCAGCACAGGCCCGCTGGGCC